TTCCCCCATTACGTTTATCCTCTTAGAACTTTCTGGCACATTGGCAGGGAGTTGTTACGATACACTGTTTTATTGATGAACACAACAAATCACTCCTAATGTTAACATACAGTATGTTTCCCTGTCACAGTGATTCCAGGCCTGGCCATGTGACCTGATTTGGCCATCAGGCCATCATGGAGTGGAATAGGAGAAAGACAGAAAAAGAGCTTGCACACTGGCCTTGCTTTCCTAGACCTTGACTGCAGTAGTCCATAGAAACACAGTGTGATCTGCTGGAGACAAGTGACCACAGAGAGGCACAGGGCACAGACTCCCAAGACCCAGGAGCTGTGGATGAAGCTATTTCAATGCTCTAGACTCACCGACTCCATCAACAGAATGAAGCCCTGCAATGACCCAGGTAAGACCTGTTGTGGGAAGCACAACTATACCACAGAATCACAAGCACTACAATCATGGGATCTGATATCACTATGTTTTTTTGTTGCTGTTTGATTTCATTTTATTTTTCTTTTGAGACAGGATCTCATGTAGCTCAGGCTAGCCCTGAACTTGCTGTGTAGGTAAAGATGGCTTTGAAATCCTGATAATCCTGCCTCCACTTTCCGAGTGCTAAGATTTCGGTCATGTACCATTATGTCTGGTTTATGCCGTGCTGAGGATCAAACATAGAACTTCCTGCATGCTAGGCAAGGACTCTACTTACTGAGCTCCAGACCCACTCCCATCATTTTTTTTTTTGAAACAGGGTCTCCCTTTAGCCAAAGCTGCTCTGGAACTCACTGTATAGACCAGGCTGGCCTTGATCTCAGAGAGATCTGCCTGCCTCTGCCTCTTGAATGCTGGGATTAAAGGTGTGCACCACAACACTGGCCCCATCACTGTTCTGAGGTGGTCTGTTATATGACAACAATTAAGTGAGCTATGATGCTTGTTTCTGTGAGTTGCAGCTTCAGTACTGATAATTTGTGTATGACACCAAATTATCTTAATATTATTCATGACAGTTCATATAACCTCACATAAAGTTCTATTTTTTAATTTATTTTTGTTATTTTTTTTTATTTTATGTGCATGAGTGTATTGCCTGCATGTATGTGAGTGCACCCGTGTCGTGCAATGCCGCGGAGGTCAGAAGGCTTCAGATTCCTCTGGAACTGGAGTTAAGGACAGTTTGTAGCCACCATGTGGGTGCTGGGAATCGAACTCGGGTCCTCTGCAAGAGCAGTCAGTACTCTTAACTGCTGAGCCATCTCTCCAGCCCCATAAAGTTCTACTTAAATATCTCTGCTAGAGACACTTGTACGATCATGTTTGTTGTTGATCTTTTCACAATAGCTAGGAGATTGAAGCAACCTACGTGCCCCTCAACTGACAGGTGTTTAATGAAAATGTGATACATTTACACAATGGAGTTCTACTCAACAGTGAAGAAAGATGAAATAATGAAATTTACAGGTAAATGGATGGATCTAGAAACTGTTATACTAAGTGAAGTGACACAGACTCAGAAAAACAAAAGACGTATGTTCTCCCTCATTTGTGGATCCTAGCACCAAATCCTTATAATAGATTGAATCCCACTGAAATGGGCCAACAGCCCATGGAAAACAGATGGTGCAGAGACCCAAAAGTTCAGTGCTTTGCCACAATGGGAGGAAGATCATCCCACACCTATCACCCCCTCTAAGGCTCAGGGACTTTTGTGGAAGAGGTTGGCAGAAAGAATGTAAGAGCCAGAGGAAGGGGTGGAGTGTTACCCGGAAGTGTCCTCCAACCACTATGCCTGCAAGCTATAGTCACACCTCCTTCCCACACTCATCCAGGAATCGATGGGGGAGTCAGTTACCCCTTCCACCCAATCAATTGACCTTAGCTGTAGTATGTGGGGGAAGGGCTAAGGATGTATAAGCTGAGAATTCCATGAGGCACCTCTCCTGCCATTTTGTGCGGCTGTCGGGAAGTCACAGAATCTGTATTTGAATGTGAACTTTCCAGTGCAGCTATAAATGTGGGGGCTCCTACTCTTCTTCTGTAAATAAACCCTTAACCTGTGCTCTGTTAGCAATCCCAATAAACTCATTAGGATTTTCCAAAGGGAAAAAAAGAAGAGAACTAATGGGAACCTTTATTATTCCACCAAAGTTGACCTCATGTTGGCAAATCCTTTGGTCTTTCCCACCTTAAACTTCATTGTATATATATTTTTATGTAACTTATTTAAAGTTATTTCTGGAAAAATGTGTTAAAATTTGTCTCTTTGAAAAAAATGCCTCTGTTAAAATATTTTGTTTTTATTGATTTTTCCCCCTGTATACTAGGTTTAGTTATAAATTGGGAAGATTTTTTTTGTTTTAAATTAAAAAGATTTATTTATTTATTTTTGGTCTTTTTGAGACAGGGTCTCCCTGTAGCCCCAGCTGGCCTGGAACTCACTATGTAGACCAGGCTGGCCTTGAACTCACAGAGATCTGCCTGCATTTGCCTTCCAAGTGCTGGGATTAAAGGCATGTGCCACCACGCCTGGCTTATTTCTTTCTTTATTTGCTTATTTATGTCTGTGCGCACCTGCGTGGGTTTATGTGCAACATGTGTGTGCAGGAGCACGGAGGCTAGAAGAGATTGTCAGATCCCCTGGAACTAGAGTTATAGGTAGTTGTGAGCTGCCATTTGGTTGCTGGACACCTAACCCACCCAAGTTCTCTGCAAGAGTAATAAGTGCTTGTAATCACTGAGGCAACTCTCCAGCCACTTACAGTCCAGTCCCTTTTATAAAAAAAAGGTGCAAGGCTGGGGATATAGTTCAGCTGGTAGAGTTCTTCCTATTATACATAAAGCCTTGGGTGCCATCCCCAGCACTGCATAAAGCCAGGTGTGGTGGTGCATATCTGTGATCATATAGGCAGGAAGATTAGAAGTTCAAGATTATCCTCTGCTACATAGGCTTGGCTATGTATGTAGAGCCTGTCTAAAAAGACAAGAATATATTCCCCATTTTTACCCTGATCTGGAGTAACTGGAAAACCTCTACAAGAAAGATGACTGAGGATGCAGAGCTGCACTGCCCCATCTTGGGCACCAAGGAGCCTGTCAGGAAGAACAAATTGAACCCACAATAGATAGGTATCCTGCTCTATAACTAGGATGCTGCCCCAAACAGGGACAGATGTGCTCCAGGCCTAGTTGCTGTCAAGTGCTAGCTTATTTTCTTTTCACTAGTAAAGAAATGGTGATAAACAGAAAATGTAATGTGGAAACACCATGTGCTGTGTAATTGTTTGCTACATATAAGTAAAGGGTATAAACGTGCGTTTACATTAGTATGTATTTATTTAGCAGTGCTCTAAAAACATAGGAAAGTCAAAACAGACATTCCTTAGTTACTCCCACACTGCTCACTCCCAGCTATCATTTTCCTGGTTTAACCAGTCACCTCCCCAATGCTGTTGCCTGTCCTGTTGTGTCACTGTGCTATAGGTGTTTTGAAGGAATTCATGTTTTCACTCTTGCAATCATGTTGCTGGGGAGGTGGGGACAGTTAGAATTAAGATTTCTGGAGCTAGATGGTTGCCCAATTTAGTTTGACCACACACACACACACACACACACACACACAGAGGTATGCATGCACCCACGCACGCACCCACGCACGTGCACACACAGACACAAAGAAAGAAGGGCCTATTGGTTGGAGGAAGATTTCTCTGTCATAGAGGGAAATTGGCTCACTGTCCATGAATGTGCAGGGAGCTCCTGAGTTGGCAGCATGAGATGAGGTGATTCACTGAGAGTGGGTGGAATGAGACAGGACGGGGATAGCAGAAAGAAAGATTCCACAGAGCCTGAGAAGCTGGAATATAGGACTCAAGAAAAAGCCAGAGCCCAGGACACCTGAGGCTGATTGTTGACCAATGTGCAGGGCCACCAACGTGTTGTGTTGGCAAATTGAGATTTCATGGACCAATGCAACTAGAACCACTGCAAGTACATCCATCTACCATTCATCCTGAGAGAGCTGCTGCTGTCCTACAGACACACCCAGAATACCATTGTCTCTGCCTATTTTATCTGGAACAGCTGAGGCCCACGCACTTATCAACTGCCAACTCGTTCAGTAAAGTGTCTAGTTTCCACATCTTAAAGAGAGACAATTTTCACAACTGAAGAGGCACCCTTCTCCTTAGGAAATCAAAAGGAAAGACCTAGAACAATGTGTAATCATTTTCTGTGAGTCCAAATACCAGCTCAAAGATCCCAGTAGCCTCACAACTCCAAGTCAGAGGAATCTAGAGAACGACTCTGTGCAGCTTTGCTTTTTAAAGGACCAGGAACACTCACATGACTTGCTTCAACTTCGTTTGTCATGTCTTAATTTGAACTTAGTAGAAGTAACAGAGACAGTAGGGACTGGTGCCTCCAATGACATAACATCATTGTATCCTTTATCTCTTTAACTCTAGTGTTCGCCTTGGTTATCTCCTGTGGTGAGCTGCTGGGTTATTTCTATCTCCTGTATTATCACAATATGTTATTAATAAGTTGTATACTTTTTAGAAAATCAAAGGCACAATCCTTTAAAACAATGATAAATCCATCTAGTTTTAAACAGATGAAGGTGAATGAACTGAGTTTCTTCTTTTTTGCTTAATAACCACATAATTAGAAGAAGCATTTCATTACAGCTTTAACATATTCAATAACAATTTCCAGAGCAAGGATACATCTCTTTCAAAAGTGGCTGTAAGTTTTTAGGTTCACAGTTGAATTAATACAGTTATACAATATTGAACTCAGTATAAACCCTGTAAGACAAAAAATTGAATGAGTTTTTAACCTTTAAAAAAGATCTCCGTTTCGTTTTAAAATATGGTATTTTGAACTGAGTTTCTTAGCTGTGATATGGTCTCAGTGCCCAGAGCCTATCAAACTCAGATGGTCCCACTGACTGGTGAGTGTGGTGCAGGTGCACTTTATGTTGTGAAAACCACAACACTTACCCCTGGAGAGCTCTGTGGATATATTGGCATTTTTTCTTCAAAACTGCAAAAAATGCCTGCATAGAAAAAATACATTTGATGGTATATTTGGAAGATTTTCTAGTGCTAATGTAAGAACACTTTTTTTTTTTGAGACAGGGTCTCTCTGTAGCCCCAGCTGGCCTGGATTCACTATGGAGACCAGGCCGGCCTTGAATTCACAGAGCTCTGCCTGCCTCTGCCTCCTGAGTGCTGGGATTAAAGGTGTGCACCACCACGCCCTGCTATAAGAACACTTTTAAAGGCTGAGATCACCGGCTGAAAATGCTGTAGACACTTCTATCTAGCAGACGTCCAGGAACTTACACACCTGAGGACCTGAGCTTCCTCCCTGACACTTATCTACTGGCTCCTGCTGTGAGCAAATTCTGGGATGCTGGTTTCTGAACCAAACGAAGGCTCTTGTCCTTATCAAGATCTATATATATTCCAGCTAAGAATTACAGTGCACATGTGCTACTTTCTTCTTCATTCTAAACCATTTGGTAGTAACGTAACTTTCTGGATAGTTTCCTTTTATCGAAGGAAAATGCAAAAGTGAAAGTAATGTGATCAGGTTATGCGTGGGGGGAGTTGGCACACAGACCACCTCACCGGGGAGCATAAGCATGTACACAAGACAAATCTGATTCTGTGAATTGATACCAGAAAAGCCAGTCAGGGAAGGCCTACTTTTTCAATCTTTAAAATTTAGTTTTAATTACTAGTGTAGGTGGTAGAGGTGGTGGTGGGTGCATGTGTGGTAGTCAGAGGACAACTCTGTGGAGTCAGTTCTCTTCTTCCATCTTTAAATGGGATCTGGAGGTCAAACTCAGGTTGCCAGACTTGTAGGATACTTGATTTATAAAGTAACTGAGTCAGAGTACTGTCTGGCAAATAAGTTCCTTGGGGTAATTCCCCTAGAAAGCAAGTCAGTCTCCCGGTTCACAGAACCTGGTTTACAAGGTTACCTGGATTCTCCTCCATGATGTTGAGAGCCTCGATGGCAGCGGCGGCTAGCAGGGGAGGTAAGGAAGCTGAGAAGCAGTATCCCTGGCCAGAGAGTCGCTGGAGAAACAAGTCAGAAACAGATGTTCTGTCTCCTGGGCAAACAACTGATGGGCACATGTCTATACCCTACTGCACAGTGTGTACATGTATGAGGGGAGCTATTGTGACCCGTATAAGAAAACCAAGACATTTTGATAAGTCAGAGAACTGATCTTTAACCATTTTGAGTTATCCTTTTTTGGGGG